TATTGTAATTAACTTCCTTGAATATAATAAAAAGTGGGATACCCTGCAAAATCTCTCTCTCTCTCTCTCTCTATATATATATATATATATATATCAACATTATATATATATATATCAACATTATATATATATATAATGTTGATATGCAAAGTGTCCTCTTGGGAGTTCAACCAGGGGACCGGGAGTTAGATCACTTGCTATGATGTGTGCTGACCACCAGTGGGTGGCACAGAATATGGCAAGTGACAAGCAGTGGTGGTGGAGCACTGAGGAAGTGAGGGAAAGAGGTGGTAGGGAGGCAGGTAACCTGATCAGCCCTGATCAGCAGCCAGGTCTAGGAAACCTAACTGTGCAATAATTGGTGCACAGGGCCTCTAGTGAATATATTACCACATAAAACTTTCGCAACTAAAAAATAGGACTATAGGAAAAAAGTAAGCATATGTTGCTTATAGAAAAAAATACTAAAGCCCTATATTCTATACTAGGGGTGTCGAACTCAATCAGAGAAGGGGCCAAAATCTAAAATCAAGCCTAAATCGCGGGCCGAATGGTTTACTGAACAGTCATAAACTGTCATTGTGATGGAAACGCAGCGGAGTGCAGTGATGACAGCGCGGTGCGGGCCACATTGCAAGGCCTGGCGGGACGGATTTGGCACGCGGGCCTTGTGTTTGACACATGTGTTCTATACAAATGTACCATATTGTTTCCCATTACCCAGGGTACTCAAACAATCCTATATGCTATCTTTTCAATAAAGACATTATCTATAAGTACAGTTAAATTAAGATTATATATATATATATATATATATATATATATATATATATTTTTTTTTTTTTTTTTTTTTTTTACCAAAATCACCTTCTCAACTCCCAACCCATGTGGCTTGGGTAGTCACACCCTGACCAGATCTCCTAGCCCAGGTCCCACACTGAACCTTGGCACTACCCTTTCTGCCAGTCAGCATGAGCCCTGATACCCATGTTTATCACTGGATATTGTTCTCCAATCTCACTATTTCCCTTGTTTCCAACCACATGAATAGAACAAAAAACACTTTAACTTCATGTAACCCTACATTAGTTAACATCAAAGAACTGGCCATCTGCTTTCCCTGCTTCTCTTGATTTCTGCCAGGTCTCATTGCATAATAGATAAGGGTTGTATGGCAGCACAGGAAGGGCATACGGTCATGGAAAATGGAAATACAGAGGCACATAAAGACATAGAATATGGACAGATAAACAAAGAGCCGTGGACATTTCCTAATTTCAAAGAATTGTGTGTGTATATATACATGTGGATATACTGATGGATTTTGTTTTTCTGTATAAAATATTGGCATGACTTTCTAGGATGATGGGCAGGTCATTCAACTAATGTAAACATTATTCAGAATTAATTACTTAGCTTGGTTTCTAATTTTATCCATATAAAGATTGTGCAAAAATGCATCATATACTACCATTTATATTTCACTACCACTGACTATTATATACTACAATAGAATCGCTGACAATTATGTATTATAATTACATTTTTATATACTGACATTACATACTAAGCTTTAATATATATCAGTTTAATATTAATTATGTTCAGAGAGTAGTATTAAGAAATTTCTGGCAAAACCTGAATACTGAGGTTTAAGCAGAAGATTTCTTTCTATCCTCAAGGCAAGAATAAGGATAATTATGCATTTTTCCTTATCAAACCTTCAGAGGTTTCCATCTATTTCAAGCTAATTTTAGAGTAGAAAAACCAAATATAAGAAAAATTTACCAAATACCCATGCTATGTTAGAAGCTATACATAGTTTATTATTCTATCCATTCTTAAAATGACTCTGCATGGAATAAGTGTCTATTCTTTTGGATGAAAAGTAGACTTACACATTTTTTTAAGTTTCTGTAAGCTCCTTGAGGGAAGTATTAAGAATATTTTTTGCTCACTGCCATATTTTTAGCAATTAGTACAGCTTTAAAACTCAACGTAGGATTGCTAACTAGTTTATCAAGTAATAGAGTTACAGAGCTAATAGATGGGAGAGCCAGAATATTATCTCAGGTTTGTCAGATTTCCAACTTCAGTCTGTCTGTGTCCAGACCTTAATGGAGGCAGGTTACATGCATTCTGCCTCATCTCTCCCAATGACCGGGAGAGGTGAGATGGGATCCTTTATTGGGAAGAATGACCTTGCTAGAAATTGATCATCTTACTGGCAGTAAGACAAGAGCTCATGAAACCAGGTCCCCTCTGAGTCTCATAATAGCTTGGGTAACATTAGTCAAGTTCCTTTACCACTCAATATTCAATGTTTGTACCATAAATACTTAATGATAAAGATTATAGTAAATATTGTTAAACCCACAAGAATATTGTGGTTAATTGTACCGATATATCCAAATTGTATAGCTATAAAATCCATAATGATCATTATTATTTGCTAAAGAGAAAAAGAATAGAGACTCAGATCATACCCAGAAAAGTAAATTCTCCGTGTACATGAAGGCAAATGAAGCTGGGCCTCACAACTGTAGGTGAGGAGGTGTTGTCAGGGGATGTTTGAGGCGGGGAGGTTCTTCTAGAATTGTGACATCCATTTTAAGCCACTCCTCTATGGTTTTGAGTCAAGTGCTATTTCTTTAAGCCGGGATTAGTAGAGGCTTTAAAAACGCCTCCTGAGTGACCTCAGCACAGGTGAAGGGCTACCACATCCCTCTCTTTATGAGTGAGCTGGTTCTACCCAGATGCTCATGTGAGGCCCTGGGTTCACAAGTCAGAACTGGAACCACAACGGAGGCGCCTCCTGTAGAAGGTACACAACACTGACTTGAATTTTCTCTGGTGCAAGTTTTAGAACACCTAACCATGGCAATAAGAATAAAGTGTATAATTTGAAATCTTCCATGTTGTTTAGGTTTATATGATTTAAAAATATATATATATAATAGAAAGTATAATAGTTCATGTAAAATGGAAAGGATTGCTTAACTTTTTAGCCTAAAATATTTGATATACCAGGTCAATTTTTAATGTGCCCAACTAGGGGTGTTAAGATATTTCTCAGAGTTACCTAGAGATTGTGTGTGTGTGTGTGTGTGTGTGTGTGTGTGTGTGTGTTCAGTACAGGTCCCAATCCAAGAACCAAGATCTACACATAGCTCAGCCTCGTTTGGGACCCAGTGATATACATAGGTGTCTATTTGTGGAGAACAGAAACGTCAATAAAAACAGTCTTTCATACAATGTCTACTTCTGCTATTTTTAATCTACCTGCTCAAACGAGTGTAATTTTAGACTGACTTTTAAAAAATAAATAAACTTGTGTGTATGTGTGTGTGTGTGTGTGTGTGTGTGTGTGTGTATTTCCTCTGAACATCAACAACAAATTGAATAGATCTCATGTTAAAATAATTTCTCAGCTCATTCCTGGTTTTTACAATTTACTAGAACCAAAACTGAAGAGACAGATAGTGTATGAAAGCAGTGAACATGTTCAACCATTTAATATTCATCACGCACTATGCTAGATTCACATATGCTACTTATTTAATCCTCAAAAGAACTATCTGAGTGAGGCATTTTTATAACATAAAATCCCTAACTAGAATCATCTTGAGATATATAATGAGAAAAGCATTTGTTTAAAGTGACAATTATTTGTCCCATATGACAAATGCCACATGTGCCCAAGATTGTGAATGTTTAAGTACTGCACCAATATATGAATTAAAGAAATACTACTTCAAAATTTTTGACAAAATTTATTTATATTATGTATGGTTATATAATTTTACTTTCTTTTTATTAAAAGAGCACTACCTTATATTATAGGTATTGGTTACATATAATTGTTAAATCAGGGGAACTTTGGAGGAAACTTTTATCCTTTCTTAAAATGACAGCAGAATGCAATTCCATTTGAAACTTAGGACATGAGCCAAATGTGGAACTTCATCATTCATGAACTACAGCTGATTTCATAATCAATTAAAAACTAAAAGTGAGTGAAAGAGGCTGAAAATTCATTTCAGCTGCTTGATAGATTATAATATGCTGAGAACTCCTAAGCACTGGCGAATATAACTGTGTCCCCTTTTCTTTGCTATAATTGCCATTAACATATGAAATAGTGTCTGCACTACACCATTTTTATCTTAGTGCAAAAGGAAGGGTAATTAGTAGGAAACTTTAAATTGTGAGAAAGGAACATACATATAGACTTTAACTTGACAGGGCTTGTTGAGATTCAGTGAACATTATATACTAAGTTGTACAGAAACTGTCTTGCTTACCTATGGAATATTTATATGTTTTATAAAATGCCCAAAGGTATGTAATTATTTACATATTTCTGTTATCAATACAAAGATGTTTAAATGAACAAGTGTATTATTTTTATGAGTATATTAGCACGTTTCTGTAAAATTACTCTTCTGCATATGTTCACATTATTTTAATGTTGTTTTCCCACCCTATTTTGCATTGAAAGTTATATGACAAAAACAATTTTCCTTTAATGAAAAGTTTAGTTTTTTTTGTTCTGTGTACTAAAAATTAAGCAGAGTAGTAAACACTAACAAACAAATGATTACTTAGTTTGAGAAATCAGATTTTGGGGGGTGTTTTCTTTCAAATGCAAATACTATATTAAAAATTATTTTGATTATAAAAATATGTAAACCAAAAAATTCGCAATAAGTGATGTAGTTAATGAGTCAGCTAATTCTCCCTGGGTGTGGTAAAAATAAAGACTAAACCATGCAAAGCTGTTTTTTAAGCATATATACATTCTAAAAAGTACCTTAAGAAATAAAATTCTAACTCATATTTATTGCAGCTTAAGTCACAATTGTGACCTTTTACTCTTCTATTAATATATGTAGGCAAAAGCTGCTAAATCTTAGAGCAAAGATGTAAAGGAAAGAAACTAGTATGAATAACTGAGGCAACATTAAGAATCACACAAAGAAACTAATTAAAGTGCTTACCATGGGCTATGGGTGCTAAGAGCATCGTGAAGAGCAGTAGCTGTGATGGCCACATGGTTGTGAAGTCAGGCATGAGTGCCTCAAAAGTGAGTGTTTCCCACGAGAGTCACAATGAGTGTTTCTGGTTCCTCTTCCGTATTCCAAGACCGATGATTAAAAAAAAAAGAAAAAGTAAAAACCCAAAAAGAAATAGTCCTCAAAACAGAAACACCAATATCCCAAATTCGAATCCTGCAAACAAGAAAAAAAAAATGTTATCAAATATAGGTTTTCTTAACTCTTTAAAAGTTTATTCCCTGACTAAAATATCTCTTATACCTCCTAATTTCATTTTAATGAGTACAGGATCCATATATAAAAATGAGTAACCTAAAGGAAAATGTTTATGCATGTATTATCAGTATTTAATCTCTACACCTCAAAGGAACTGAAATGAATAATGCAGTATTACTGGAAAAATAATATAAATATAGTATGTTATTTTTATAATAATTAACTAAATTTGGCACTTACTATGCATGAAATATTTTCCAGAAATACAATTTTTATTAACTTTACTATAAAAATTTATTATCATTGCTGTGAGATTGAAATAAAAAGTTAAGTGTATAAGTTTTACTTTCATTTTAGTCCCTAATATTCATTTAGAAATCATTCTACATGTTACCTACATTGTTATCCTAAGCATATTTGTAAGTAAACCTGTGAAGATCATAGATTTTTATAAATTAATTATGCTCAAAGATAATTAATTCTTTCAACAGAGTTTTATAAAGTACCCACTAAACTACAAAGCACTGGACTAGGAAAACATAATACAATACTGAATAAAACATGCTATTTATTTTCTAGGATCTTACTGCTTAAGATGAATAATCTTGCTTAAAAGAGTTAAATACATTTATGGCAGACATTTAAAAAGTCATGTTAGTGAATCAAACTGATATAGCTGCTTCAGCTTATGTATGCACAGATTATCTTATAGAGCAAAAATATGAAGGGAACATGACCCACATTTTGATGATTCTGTCTTTCATGCACCTTTAAAATTGATCAATGTCCAAAATTTACAGGGAACTCATACAACTTAACAAAAGGAAGATAAAGGATAAAATAAAAAATGGGAAAAGGACCTAAATAGACACTTGTCGAAAGAGGATATAGAGAAGGCTGAGAGACATATGAAAACATGCTCTAAGTCACAATGAGTTACCATCTCACACGTGTCAGAATGGCTATCATCAACAAATCAACAATTGACAAGTGCTGGTGAGGATGTGGAGAAGAAACCCTGGTGCACTGCTAGTGGGAATGCAGACTGGTGCAGCCACTGTGAAAAACAGTATGGAGTTTCCTTAAGAAGTTAAAAATGGAACTCCCGTTTTACCCAGTGATCCCACTTCGAGGAATATATCCCTAGAAATCAGAAACACCAATCAGAAAGGATATATGCTCCCCTATATTCATAGCAGCACAATTTAACACAGCTAGGATTTGAAAATAGCCTAAGTGCCTATCGGAAGATGAGTAGATTAGAAAACTGTGGAATACTATGCTGCTGTAAAAAAGAAGGAACTCTTTATCATTTGCAACAGCATGGGTGGATCTGGAGAGCATTATGCTAAGAGAAATATGCCAGTAGACAAAGATAAATATCATAGGATCTCACTCAAATATGGAATATAATGAACAACATAATCTGATGAACAAAAATAGATCCAGAGATAAGGTAACACTGAGTAGACTGTCCAACCTCAGAGAGAAGGCAGGGGAGGAGGATGTAGAGAAAACCAAAGGACTTGTTTGCATGCATATTAGCATAACCAAGGGACACAGACACGGGGTTGATGGGGGCGTCTCCTGGGGGATGGGAATCACGGGGGGGGGGGGGGGGGGGGAGTTGTCAATCAGAGAAAAAGGAAACATGTAATACTTTAAACAATAAAAAAAAATGATGAATTAATAAAAGCTTCATCTCTCTCTTTCTCTCTCTCTCTCTCTCTCTCTCTCACTGTATTCTGATGATTAATATATATGTAATATAATTTCATATTTGAGTATGTATTTTTTTTCTGGGAATGAGCATTCAAAATAGCAATAGCTTACTGAAGATTGTATTATAATCCTCATTTTACCAAAATAAATTCCAAAATAGTCTGAAGTATTTGCCTTGGTTATAAGTCAAAATAACATGGATTTATCTGAATTTTGGGCACTATTACTTATAGCATGATAAAGATAACCTTGGGCTAGTCATTTAAGCTCTCGAGGCCTTGGATTCCTATCAGTTAGTAGGAGAAAGAGTCAATTCTTCACAATTATGGTTATAAGAACATTAAATGAACTATAACTTGTATCTTTTAATTATCTGAAATGCATTAAAATATATATTGTCCAGAAGAGTGTCTGGCATGTAATAAGAGCTTTATGTCTTTCACTAGAAGCCTGTTGCATGAAGATTCCTGCTAGAAAGGGCTTTCCTTTCCCTGGCTGCCAGCACCGCCTTTCCACTCAGGCCCTGGAACCTCCTCTTTTATCTCTGGCCCCACCTTCCCACACAGCTCAGAAGCCCTGAGAGACTGGAGGTGGGGTAGAATGCCTGTGTCCTGCCCCCTTCACTTGGCACCTGTGTATGCACATTAACCACCATCTTCGTTTGATTAATTTGCATATCACTCCTGATTGGCCGATGGTGTAGCAGAGGTAAGGTCAATTTATATGTTTGTCTATTATTAGGTAAGATTAGTTTCACGTTTATCCTTTTACCGTGGCTGTGTAAGAAGCAAGATTATTTAGCTATTAATATTTCCTGAGTCACTAGTGTATAGATGGATGCCAAGAATACTACATTTGGACACAACGCATACAAATTTTATGCTTAATCTCACATAGACTATAAAACAAAATGAAGCTTATAATAGACAATCTCATAGTATTTTCCTCTTACAAATAGGAAAAGCACTGACAGGGGGAAATGTGGTTCAGATAAAACAGAAACCATGGAAAGGAATCATGAGCAACATTTTCATTTCATTTTTATTTATTCATACTTTGAGTTCCAAAAAACATTCAAAACTTGTCATAAGTGTATAATTCTTTTCTAAAATGAATTTTAAAAGAAATTGCTAATTTATTTTGTTCAAAATCATTTTTTTAAATATTTTTTATTGATTTCAGAGAGGAAGGGAGAGGGGAGAAAGAGATAGAAACATCAATGATGAGAGAGAATAACTGATTGGCTGCCTACTGGGGATAGAGCCAACAGCCTGAGCATTTATCCAAGAACCTTTCATTTCTCAAGCCCGTGCTCTATTCATTGAGACAAACAAGTTAGGGCTCAAAATCAATTTTTGAAAAGAGTCCAGAGGCATGGATGCATGTAAAAAATTAATAGACATGAGGCAGGGGTGTGGAAGAGGGAGCAGGGAAAGATTAGGAGGAACAGGGAGAGATTAGCCAAAGAACATATATGCATAGCCCATAGACACAGATAATAGTGTGGTGAAGGCCTGGTTTAGGGCAGGGGCTGGGTGGAAGGGGTGAAAAGTGGGGGACATGGGGACATGTGTAATAATGTCAACAAATTAAATAAATAAATAAAATGAAAATGAAATTATATTAATGAATATGCATGAGATAATTAATGGATATCTTAAAAAGAATACATAAGTTGATTGACAGATCAACAAGCAAACAATACACTATATACTCAACATTCAGTTATTGTTGCTACTTTTCCTATGGCCACTGGGTTTATGATTGTCAAAAATTGATATCAGTGAATGTGTGTAACCACATAGACCCATACAAAAAACCATATATAAATAAGAGGAATACATATAGAATAATTTAGCTACAAGAAAAAATATACATGGTTAGCTATTCACGTAAATTATTTATCTATTATTTCAAAAATATATATTTAATTTCTTCAAAATGCAAATAAAGTAGAAAACGTTTTCTCACAACTCATACTATAGTATAAAACACAGGAAATGAAGTTACATAAAGAGGAGAAAAATTAACATTTCTTTAGTCACATGAAGAATAAAATAATTAATATTTCTTTAGCTTTTTATGCCAACCAATGTTCTAGAAATTAAATAATTTTCTGATTTAATTCTCCATAGAAATTAAACCTGCTACCTTTCAACTAACTGAGCATCATCCCATAGAAATGGGCTCCATAGAAATCTTTAAAGCAGATAATACTCCAATACTTACTGAGGAAGAAAATCAGACTTGTTACTCAGTAAGAATTTCAAACCAAGTATCTGAATTCAACATCAGTGCTCTTTCCTCTCTATAATAGAAATAAACAAGAAACTGTATCACAGTAATAGGTTTATTAATTGTACAAAAGAAGGAGACAATGTGGCAAGTTTCCGAGGTAGACTTAGGCCTTGCTTAAATAGGTTACTTGATTCTGAAAAGTGGAGAACCTTGACCAGTCCAAGAGTAGAGGAGACAGAGACAGAGAGAGGGAGAGAGGGAGGGAGGGAGGGAGGAGGGAGGGAGGGAGGGAGGGAGGGAGGAGAGAGAGAGAGAGAGAGAGAGAGAGAGAGAGAGAGAGAGAGAGAAAAGACAGGTTTAAAAAATCTAATTACACATTATACCCTTTGGAGGTTTAGGGAAAATTATTTCCATAGTAAAATATGATTATTGCTACTGTGAAGTCTGGCTTTAGTGAAAACCGAAATAGAATATTTTATAAGCTACTATATATTTTAATATTGATAAAGCCATGGGAAACAGTTATTTTATGAAAAGAATAAAAATTATAGGTCTATTATCTATAATAATGGTTATTTTAGGATATTGCAGCAGGGCATAAAGGCACTTCTACTATGATATTTTACATTTGATTTAGGCATAGGGATTTGTTTTCATGATTACTGTGTAAACAGAGGTGGGGAAAGGAGTTTAGAGGAGCAGAAGCTATTATTTGAGAAGGGTGACACATTTTCACCTCCTACCTATATACCTCTCAGGCACCACCACAAAATAATGTGCTGATCTGGGTGTATGTATAATGAAATCCCATCAATTCAACTATAGGAATTTTAATAGATCAATGAAAAGACAAGACTGCCCATAATCTACAGAAAGATTCCCCCCTGAATACTAACATCAAAAACAAAATAAGAAAATTTTCTGGAATGATTTTGTCCCCAATTTATGTGTTGTCATTTACTTTATCAAACTAATCAGTATTCATGCAAAAGGGATTT